TATATATGTATATATTTGTTGTTGTTGTTTTGTTGTTGCTGCTGCTGCTATAAATTGACCTCTGTATCTCAAAGGTCTTGGTATATTGTGTTTTCATTCACATATGTTTATAGGATTTATTATTATTTCACCTTTTATTTCTTCTATTACTCCATAATTTTTAAGCAGGTTTTATTCTATTTCCAAGTATCTGATTTTCCCCCTGGTCTTCCTTATATTGATTTCTAATTCTATAGTATTGTGATCTGAGAAGATACTTTGTATTATTTTGATGTTTTAAAATTTATTGAGGCTTGCTTTGTGGCCTAGTATTTAGGCTCTTCTGGAGAATGATCTGTGTGCACTGAAAAACAATGTCTATTGAGATTTTATTAGTTTAATCTGTATATGTCTATGAGGTCAAGCTGGTTGATTGTGTTGTTGAGATCTTCTGTATCTTTGGTAAAAATTATTTCTGGTTCTGTCCTTCAAAAGTAGCATGTTAAAATTTCCTACTATTATTCTGGAGTTGCCTATTTCTCTTTTCATTTTGGTTCATGTTTGCTTTCTGTCTTTTGGGGCTCTTTCGTTAGGTACATGGATACTTATTACAGTCATGTTCTCTTGCTGGATTGACTCTTTCTTTAATCATAATATGTTATTTCCCCTTGATGTCTATTTTATCAGAAATTAATATTGACATTCCTGATCTTTTTGGTTGCTGCTAATGTGATGTATTTTCTGCCCTAGGATTTTAAATTAATTTTTTGTTTGTGTGTAAGATGTGTCCTTGTAGGCAGTATATTGTGAGCCCTGGTTTCTTATGCATTCTGCCACTCTTTTTCTTGACTGATGCATTTAATCAGTTTACATTCATTATAATTAATGATAGGTAAGCCTGGGGAGGAATAAATTTATTGCTGCCATTCTTTTGTGTTTTTTATTGTGGAGTTGATGGTTTCTTTGTTGCATATATTTTTATATGCTGAGTTCATTTTGTTATCAGATTTTATTTTCATTTTCTTCATTGTTGTTGATCTTGTTTTTAATAAGTCCTTTTTCTTTTTTGTTTTGTTTAGAAAGTTTATTGACTCTCCTTGTGGTTACCCTGCAATCTATCTATTTATTTTAAAACGATTTCTATTTGGAATTGAGTGAAGATTTACAGAGTAGAACATCGGTTCCATATTCAGCAAATCATACACTTTGTCATCACAATGATTGCAAAGCTATTCGTGTACTATTAGTTAACAATATTTGCCTCTATTGACTTTAACTATGAACTCCTCCCTACATCTCCCATTGCTTTCATTTTTCCTGTGCTAATCTCCCGCTTGTTGTACATTGTCTTCCCCATCACCCATGTAGCACTGTGGGTTAATGCATTGGACTGCAAAGTCAGTTTGATCTGCAGGGTTGGAGGTTCAAGCTCACCAGCTGCTCCTCAGAAACCCTATACAGTGTTGCTATGGGTTGGAATTGAGTTGATGGCACTTTAACAACAATACCTCTACCCGGTGATTAATTTTCCTTTTACTCCCACCCCTGGTAACCATCATAGACTGTTTCTTTCAGCAAAAACAAAAACAAAAACAAAACACCCTTTTCTTAACTTTTTACAACATTGGACTCATAAAATATTTGTCCTTTTGTGAATAACTAATTTCACTCAGCATGTCCTTTAGGTTCATCTATGTGATGAGGTATTTCCCAGATTCATCATTATTCTTCAATGTTGCATAATATTCCATTGTGTGTAAATACCAAAATTTGTATCCATTCTGTTACTCTATGTCCTTTGACTGGTGCTCTTAATCGATTTACATTCAGTGTAAATATTGATAGGTATGCTGTCAGTTTCCCGACTCAACGGCACTTAACAACAACAACAACAATGCTGTCAGTTTGCTGTCTGTTTTTTTGTGGTGTTGCTAGTTTCTTTGTGCCACATAAATTCCTGTGCTGAATTCATTTTGTTTGTGGGTTTTCTTTTCATTTTCTTCATTGCTATTGTTTTAATGTTTACTAAATCTTTTTGAGTCTCCTCTTTTTTACTTTGATGTGCAGGTATATTAATTTTCTGTGAGATTACCCTGTAATTTATTATGTTTTGTCTCCATTTTAAACAGTCTGTTTTATCTTTAGACTTCTTTACCATTGGGAAGCTCTGTACCTGAACCCTCTTTTTTTGTTTTGTAGTAGACTTCATTATAAATAGATATCACTGGTTCCTTGTTTTCAGTCTTGTAAGCTTGTTTTACTTTAAATGCTTCTATATCTGGACTGAGTTCTTTATCGTGGTGTCACATATGTTAATCTCAGGTTGTTGTCTACTGTCATTGGTCTCAGTCCAAAGAATACCCTTTAGTGTTTTTTGTAAAGTTGGTCTGGTTAATACAAATTCCTTTCACTTCTGTT